TTTCTCTGTGTAGGTGCCCCTTTTCTCATAAAGTGCCCCTTTTTTGGTGCCCCCCACTTTGAATAACGCTCCACCGCCTCTGGCCTGCTAAAACCCCTGAGCCTCTGGGGGCTGTACCCCCTGGACCCTACGCCAATTTACGCTTCAATCACTACGCTCTACCTGATTGTAAGAATTTTAGCCACCCCCCCCCCCCCCCCCCCCCCCCTCCTACTTTGAATACATATTACGCGGGGCCTGTACGTGCATTAGGATAATGCTAGGGGATACAGTTGAAAGAAGATGCTATCCCCTTTCCCAGTGTCAATGCCCAGGTGCATCATGATTCAAAGAAAATGATAAAAAAAAATTTAAAAAAAAACAAAATAGTCGCCGCGCCTTGATCTAGTCTATAGTACCGGTAGAACTTTTATTGAGTAGGTGCTGATGACATAAAGACTAGCAAAAAGTCAGCTGACACGCTGAAGTTCGGAAGATTTTGGAGATAGACCTATTCATGAAATATTAGCAAGGTATGATTTCTAAATGTACTTTTTAATTTAAGGAAGTTTTTCATGTATATTTTTCACTTATTACACTACTGTTTATTTGTTTGATATGAAGGCCAAAGGCCCATGAGATAGGTATTACTCGATTGCGTGCATGATTATAGTTTCATTAAATAATTGCTTCGGTCCCAAACGTCTGTTATTGTGTATGGCTAGAGAGTACAGTTGTAGGCGCTAGTTGGCTCCCTCAGTAGGTAAAGCGTTAGACCGAAAGCTTCAGTCTCTATACCGTCGGTTGTTCCACTGAGACTACGTCTGGCTCCACTAGACCTCCGGTTATAGAGACAGAACGATCGCCTATGCCAGCCTATGTTGAAGATATCACGGCTAGATTTTAGCCGTTAGGCCCCCTTCCACAAACATGAACAAACTTGCCACGGCCGTATTGTTATGCCCCCAAAATCCCCCAAAATGTCATTTTACCTCGTGCATATCCAATTTTACATTAGGCCTAGGCTATAATACATCGGTTCCACTTACTAACTTGATTGAAATCATCCGTTTAATGGTCCCTTTTAAGGAAATTATGGGTCAAAATCGACATCCATGTTGAAAATCTTGCAAGCCGTGTTAAACTCTCGCTGCCGTCAATCTCATCCCTTCTAGTCTACGCCGAAGGCAAAATGATTATGAAGGAAAAACTGTGCGCCATCTACACGTTCGTAATGGCGTTATCACAGTTTTTCCTTCGTAATCATTTTTGCCTTCGGCGTAGACTAGAAGGGATGAGATTGACGGCAGCGAGAGTTTAACACGGCTTGCAAGATGTTCAACATGGATGTCGACTTTGACCCATAATTTCCTTAAAAGGGACCATTAAACGGATTATTTCAATCAAGTTAGTAAGTGGAACCGATGTATTATAGCCTAGGCCTAATGTAAAATTGGATATGCACGAGGTAAAATGACATTTTGGGGGATTTTGGGGGCATAACAATACGACCGTGGCAAGTTTGTTCATGTTTGTGGGAGGGGCCTAACGGCTAAAATCTAGCCGTGATATCTTCAACATAGGCTGGCATAGGCGATCGTTCAGTCTCTATAACCGGAGGTCTAGTGGAGCCAGACGTAGTCTCAGTGGAACAACCGACGGTATAGAGACTGAAGCTTTCGGTCTAGTAAAGCGTCTGCCTGTCGAACCAAAGATCCCGGGTTCGACTCCCACCCAGGCGGATGACTGAAGTCTGCGTTGTGTGTTAAGGTGCCCCTTCCCTTGTTCATAGACGCAGGTTATGTCAAGTGTAAAACACTCCGTCCCTCGGATAGGACGTTAAAAGGAGGCCCCATGTACAGGAGAGTCACCACCCTTGCACGTTAAGAACCCATTGCACTATTCGTATAAGAGTAGGGGGAAACCCCGGTGTAATGGTCCACCTGCACACCCCGATCAGGCCGAGTATACGGCATCTGCAAGAATCTTCAGTAATGAAGGAGGCAGATTATCTTGAAGAAGAGAAGAAGAGTTCAGCTCTAGGCTAGCTCAGAGGTCTATCCAGAATTTGACCCGTAACTCCGGCGTGGAGATACCCTACTAAAACATACCCAAAATGAAGAAAATATTCATCAAATGTCCAAATAAATGTCATGATTTAAAAGTCGATATGTTACCTGTTTCGTGTCAATTTTCTTACTTTAGTTAGCGACTGTAATCTTAGTTTACGGTCGCTAATTGTGACAGAAAAGTGAGAATTTGCTCTGTTCAAAAATAATTTCCAGTACCTAAGCTATGTTTTGAATACATAGCCTAGTCTTTATTATATTATAGAGAACAGTACATTTTTAGGCAGCTATAAAAGAAATTATCACAAATGAAGTAAAGACCAAAGGGAAGTTGCTCAAACTTGTAGACTGATTAGTGATGCACTTGCCCATCCCTCGAAAAGATTATTGTCTACTTCACCAATTTGAATTGCAGTCTGAAGATAAGTCAATACTCTGAATGCAATATCATATTTTACCAACAGTAGTGCTTGGGACTGCTGCCACCATGTCTCGAACTACCAAGGAGACATTCCGGCAGCGGATGCAGGGCTTCTTTGGCATGCGAGGACCTCGAGGGAGCAACCCTGGAGATGGACAATTTAAGAAAGGGGAGTTCTTCATTACCCCTACACTCAAGAAGGTAAAAGATGGCTCACTGTTCTTGATGCAATCTTTATTCAAGTGTAACAAAAGCCATTTTACAATATGATACAGTGTTTCTATATCGCACTCCCTCAAAGATGTGTGCTTCCATTCCCTCAAATGAGAGTTAGTATGCGCCATTGATATACAGAGTCGGGGTTGGAGTATTAGAAAGTGAAATATGTTTCAGGGAATTTTTATGAATTCATTTCATAATCTTTTATTCTTCAGAATCAGTTTTCTTTAATCTACAAACAAATAAATATGTATGCATGTGCAAAGATAATTCATGGTCCTTCATTGTATTCCCAATTAATCATCAAGTAGCCACCTGTTTTCAATGAATTGGCTATTTTTATTACTGTTTTTTTTTTTCTTCCAGGATTTGAGTCGAGAGAGTCCATTGAATGTTCGGATGAAAGCTATCAATCACTTGAGTGCCCTCGTTGGTGAAAAGAAACTTGAAGATGTGAGTAATCAATGCACAGTAATATATTAACCAGTGATTGCTTGCAAAGCACTAATTCGCTCAACGTTCAGGTTACTGGTGCCAAACAACAGAGCCTACGCATGAGGTTCACCACGACATCATTCAAGCAATGGGCTGGAGCAGGGCAAATTCAATGTTTGGCACTGGTGTGATCACCACGCCATTGTTTGGAACCAGCAACCTTGAAAACTTGGCTAATATGATGTCACACTTCGTTGCTCTGTACTGTACCTGTATGAGATTATTTTCTTTCTTTCTTTCTTTCTTTTGTGGTTGTTATTGTATTTCCTTAGCAGTAGAAAATAAAAAAATTTAAAAAAATGATATTATCTTTCCCCATCCGTTCCATTATTAAAGGAGATCATTCTTACCCGACTTTGTATTTTCATTATTTAGATTTGAAATGAACCAGTGTACATGAATTTACGTCTTAATAAAAGTCCATTGTTAATTGAAATTCTCATTTTATCATTATGAACAATTGGTTTGTTTATGTAATGGATTCAGCTTTTGTGAGTGAAATCCTTTCTCTCAAACATTGCCAAAGACTTGACTATTTATTATAAGTTTGTTCTGTTTTGTATTTTAGCAGGGGAGAACAAATTAACAAGTAAGGAAACAAATGTACTACATTTATATATGGCTTGTTAGTTTATCTATTGACAACTATAATTTTCCCTTTACTGTATTTGTTTACTACAGAATGGAATAGAGGCAATATGGGTATTGATATCGGATCTGTTAGACCCTCAAGTCAATACAGATCATCGTCATCTTGTTCTTCACTTCCTCAAATGCATAATAATCGGTCAGGTAAGCCATAGTACATCTTTATATTTCTTTTTTACATAAAAATATCTAGTCTATATCCTCTAAAAGTGTTATAAACAAATTTGAAATATGTATTTACTTGAACTATATCTTGAACCTTATTTTCATTTTTCAAAGGATCAACATAAAATTTTAAAAACAATTGCAGATTGAGATATACATGTTGAACAGCATAATAAAAGTACATACCGGTACATACTTTTATGTCTTTAATGCACGTCCTTAAATTGTAGTGATATTGTTTGCTTATTTATGTAGCATAGGGTGTTCTTGTTGTGGCCTTTAGTCCTGTCCATGTCATGTTGCCTGGTTGGCAAAGAAATTATTTTCCTAAAATACTCAATTCATGGAAGAAACTGTGGCCCAGAGGGCGTGTATGTAATAAGGGTTATGTTTGACTCGTATTCAAATATTATTACTTGTCTGGGGATGAATTTTATATCTGGAGATGACCTGTAATGTCCCCCTCTATTTTTCAAGTGAAATGAAAAGAAAAAGGAAATTGAAGGAAGAAGAAGTTAAATCAACCATCATTACTAATCTTATCTGATTAATCCATGGATTCTTCCTCATTCTTTTCCAGTCTGAATTCCTTGGTCCAATGCGATATCACTTCTTTCAGGTGGTCAAGGGACACAACATCTTTGAAGACCTTCCTCAGAGGTTAGTACGGGGGGGGCTGTTTCACCTGTTTAAACATGGGGGGGGGGGGAAATGTGCTGTTTATTTCCATTATAAGTGTTACAACTCAATGTGGAGCTAATATTTTTTCCTTCATCTAGCTAAGTAAGACATATTCCATCATTATACAGGATTAACATTTGACAGATTTGATAGTAGATTTTAGAGGGATATATTTAACCTGTGTATTTGTATATTAAGATGTAACCAGATAGTATGTAAACGTTGAAAAATATCTTCTGTTCATGTCCTTTTACCGACTCGACCTTTTAATATCTCACATTTGTAGATTGGACATGTTGCGAGCTCTTAGTGACAATGGCAAGAATCTGTTAGATTTTGAGGAGGAGATGGGACCTTTTCTTATGCTGTGGATGCCAGATGTCATCAGCTATGGAAAGTAAGTACCGGTATATATGTCTTGTGTTGTCATCGTAGAGGTGGTATCGGGGTATAGTGGTTCATTCACTTGACTCTCAATCCAAGGGTCAAGGGTTCATATCCCGGCCCGGCACTTTTGTCCTTTGGCAAGATATTAATCCACATTTGCTACTCTCCACCCAGGTTAAATGAGTCCCTGGTAGGATGAGAAAGTCATTGTAGTTTTTTCAGCTTTTGACCATCTGTAAAATGGCTTCTGGCTGGAATGCTCCCTAGGGAGTGGAGAATGTGCATGCATTGTATGCAGGCAAGCCTGAATCTGATGAGCAGTAATGTATCTGTGAAGTGCATAGAGTGATTGCTAATTTGTTAAGTAAACTATAAAACCAGAATGTTATTATCTTGAGGAGTTACCACCCCTTTAGATCTGTCTTGTTTGGAGCTCAGGTCCATATTAACTTCTTTATCCTTTTGCACCAGGTGCTTAGTTATATTTTGGGGTTTGGAGGTTTGCAAAGCCCTAAATTTGTACAAGTCACAGACCAATAGTTGTGCCATATGTGAAAATAAAACAATACACAAAATAATTCCTTATTTCAATATATCTCAGTCATTCTATTTCTTAATGAATATCTATGATCATCGTTCCCAAAAAAATCATGTTGGGAATGTGTTGGATACTGCTACAAGAATGCTACTTTTTCATTCTTTGTAAGTATGTAATGTAATGTAATGTAATGTAATGTAATTCTTGCCTTGTCAAAAAAAATCAAAGATTGATGGATGTATCTAATGACCTCTTTTGTTTCTGCAGAACTGCTGGGTTTCTTCAGGTCTTGGTGAATGTCATCAAATATAACTCCTGCTACCTTGATGATCATATCATAGCTGGCTTAGTTCAGTAAGTTCGCTTTTAGGTGCTTACCATCTCAATTTATTTGTTAATCAAAGAGATTTCAGAATTATACATGTTGCAGTTCCAAGTTCCTTTGTGCAGGTGAGATTTGAGTATTGTTTAGGGGAAAGAACATGAACAATTCTTGTGCCATATTTACTAAGAAGTGAAGTGTATACCAGTTTATCATTATCATTTATTGAAGTCAGCATTTTCCCTCTCATTATGACTGAACAAGTATTGCTAGATACAATATCCAGGGCTTTCAACAAGTATTCAATGTAGAAAGTGTGTCAAATACATGTACATGGATCTATTCAAAGAGCTGAATAGTATGTTAAATAACCAGGAAAAAAAGGGAAGATGATGTGAAAAGAACATGGGATCTGGAAGTAGATGGTGTTAGAGGGAAAGGAAGACGAAAGATTTTAAGGAAAGATATGGGGAAAAAAGAAAGCAATAAGGTTGGTCTAAATCATGGAACGGATGCTCAATACAAGAAGTGGAGGGAGGGAGTGTCATCAGGGCATGAAAGTCATTAACCCCTCGTAAAAGGGAAAATGCTGACTTTAATAAATGATGATGATGATGATGATGAGAAGTAGATAGAGAGCCTTGATCACTAATATAATCACACAGGGCTCTAATAGCAGGGATGCCAGTTTTCAGGCCCTTGCAAGTTATTTTTAGACCATAGTTTAGACTTTTTTGTGTACAAAATAGCTCATTCTCTGTGATTTTCAGGCCCTCTCATCAATTCCAACTGGCATCCCTGTAATAGTAAGCAAGGAATTCTCTGAACATTCCAACATTCTTTCCCCTCTTTTCCTTCAGGCATACTTGCTCCATCTGCAGTAGAACAGAGAAAGAGAGGGATATAGAACAAGCCATCCATGTCTTAGATGCTGTGATCTGCTATAGCTGCTTGCCTAGCGAGTCTCTTTATCACTTCATTACCGCCCTCTGTAGGACAGTCAGTGTCAAGAGATTCTGCCAGTCCAGCTGGAAGGTAGGCCATCTGCAATAACCAATATTTCCATAAACACAAATTTTACAAGATTACACACCATCAAAGGTCTGGAATTGTGTACGTGTATACTGCTTTTATTTATTTTTTTAATAATGATGAATACATTTTACAAACTCTTTTCTTTTCATTTCTTTATGATGTCCATAGAGGATAATTGTTCATATTTACATTTAGAATCTTGCTTCAAAGTAATTTTACAGGAACAACATATAATTGACAGTCATAAGTCATGTAAATATTGGTCGCTACGTTGCAGCACCCTGTATTTTTCCTTGTATGTAAGTTTAATGAAAGAATATGATGCATATTTATCAAATATGTTCCTTTATTTGTTTGATAAATGTTCTTTTATTCTTTACTTGACCCACCTGTACATGTTATATTTGGGATACTTTTATTAAAGATTCATAAGATTGATAACACGTCTTTATTTGATTTCCTTTCAGCTAATGCGTAATCTTCTAGGAACCCATCTTGGACACAGTGCAATCTATACCATGTGCTGTATAATGGAGGATAGGTAAGGAACGGTACTCTGAGTGCATGTTCTTGCAATACATGTATGTTTGCATACTGTCTGCATATAAAACTAATTAATCTATTTGTATGACACAAGGAGAAATCAAAGCATTATGGTATCAGATGATTTTTCATTCTTATTTCTGTGTTGTGGCATGTACCACACAAAAAGTATGTGATTCAGATAAAGGCTTTGAATTTTTGCACTGCTTTGAAATGAAGCTCCAGTGAAGTTATCCAAGTGATTGATTCATGTACATTAGATTTAACTGTTTTTATTGACAACTGAAGATCAGCTAAATGTCTATTACCACAAAGTTATTACTGGCTTCCTCGCTTTCTTGGGGGCTGACTTGACCTTCTTTGCGGTGGCTGCCTTCTGCTGTTTTTAATGTCTCAAGCCACGATAGATTTGTTTTTCTATTTTTCTATTTTCCTGTTTTTTCCTTCTTTTCGTTGGCCATAACGCCAAGATGACAGTAGTTTGAAAATCATATATGATATGTAACTTAATGCAAGTTTAGAATAATATCAATCTTTATGTCTTGACTCTCTTTATTTTGGACAGCCACAACATCAGTGATGTGGTGCTGCTACGTGGGGCAGTGTTTTTTGTTGGTATGGCACGATGGGGATCCATGAAGGTACAATCGTTGCGTCACATCAACTTCACTTCTGTCCTGCCATCATTTGAGAGGGTAAGAGACTCAGGGAAATATATCACAGCAGAGATAAGAAAACCTCATTTAATACACTGACAAACAATTTTGTATGTCTTGTTCAAAGATGACAACTGTTATTTATTGTATGGAGTGATGAACACAATATGTGTTCGCCTCCATTTCCAAGGTATGGATTTGTATTTAACTCTGTAATTCTTTATCTAACTTTGCAATACATGTACAGTCATGTCTTTATATCCACTTTATGTCTTTCTCATTGCGTACACATCATTTATTCCCTTTTCCATCAACTATGAAAGAATAATTTATATTCTCTCTCTCTCTCTCTCTCTCTCTCTCTCTCTCTCTTTCTGTCTTTCCCCTCCACTTCAGGCCCTGACCTGCAAGCATGTGTTGGTGGCATATGAAGTGACCCTGTCCTTACAGAGACTGGTCAAGAAGAATGGACAGGACATTCAAGCGGTCACCTGGGATATCATTTTAGGAATTATAGAAAAACTCTTCAGAAACATTGAGGTAAGATGTCTGTCATACTTCTCTCATTGCTTGATCTTTCATTTTTCCTTAATAAATATGGCTGTACAAAGTATTGGAACCTTATTCACACTTTACCTGTTTAGCTCATTTAATTATATTATAAAGTGTCTTTATGGAAAGCTAAAAAAGTTGTCTGTTTTATAATCATATGCACACTCAATCTGCCATTTAATGACGATACATCAGAATGTTTTGCAGATTGGGCATGAATCATCTAATCTAATCTAATTCCTAAAATATTGTTTAGCTCATAATGTTTATTTCTTGATCAAGAAGTGTTTTAAATACAGGTACAACATTTTACCCCTGTGTGAATATAATGAATTTATGAGTAAAGATAAACCTAAACAACATATATACTGTATCGATTGAAAAGTTTATTTTTCATTATACTGTACTAAAAAAAATCAAATCAAGGTTCAGCTCAGTCTAGAATCAATTTAAGAAGAGAAGTTAGATCATGGTTTATCATGTTTCCCCATTGTTAAAGCTGATCTAGAGATTGTTTTGAGTTTCTCTATATTTATTGTATTCAAAACTTTGAGTTCAATTTAAAAACTTTTTAACCAGAAAGCTTGTAAGGCATTTCCTCTCTAGCTGTCTCCTCATTCTCATAGATACTCACTTTTCCATATATTTTGTCCAGATTACCTTTATGATGTATATTATATTGTATGATTATCTTTGTAATGTATGTTATTTTATCTTTAAAGGTATGCAATATTTATATAATATTGACCGGCCCTTATGGAGATACCACATATATTGCCCAAACTAGACTCATATTGCCCCGAGTAAAAGACGAGGGCAATATGGGTCCTGTGTGGGCAATGTATGTGGCATCTACCGAAAGTTAAGCCAGTCAATATTTTTATTGTTATCCAAATCAGACATCTAGAGCAAAATCAACCATGAAAACCTCAAAGAACTGAACAAACTTTGTCAACCAGCAGTGCTGGATGAAATTGTTGATACACTGCAAACAGTGTGCCTTTGGTGTGATTATTACGTCACAATAGAGTGCGCGCAAAGTGAGCAGGTTTAATAGATGCGCAATGAAAATTACAAAATACGGCGCGGTCAATATGAGACTATATTTTCACTCGTCTCTACACCAAAGTCTATACGGGCAGGGAGACCAAGGAAAATACAAAGAATATACCCTTCCGTTCCCACTGCTAATGAAAACTAGGGCAATAGGGTTTTGTAAATGACCAGCTCAGATGTCTGATATGGGTAATAATGTATGTTATTTTATTTAAATGTTTTTAATGATAAATGAAATAAATTTGACTATCTATCTAAATAAAGGATGTTGCTTTTCAGCAAATCCAAATAGGATTAATTCTGACTTGTGGAATTCCTTTTGTTTTCTTTTGAGCAGGAGTATGCAGTGAGTCATGAATACCTTCCCACTCAGCTCCATGATCTCCTTACAATGATAGAGAGGCTTTATGAGAAGAACAGTTTCAATGGATCACAGCAACAGCTCTTTGCTATCGTAGAAGAGTTTGCTCGTCTCAGGCCTGTAAGTGGAACTACTTCCTTGTCTTTGTGAATGAATTCCTTTTTTCCTCCAATAGGTGTGTAAAATACATGTACGCATACATTACCTAGTTACATTTAATAGAAGAGAAGTTTAAAATTTGATTAAAAAAGTATTTTGTAGGACGCATTTGAGTTTTGAAAAACATCAAATTTTATTAAGGGTATGAACAATTCAGTTGTTAACCGTATAAACAATGCCTAAGTGTGATGAGAATACTAAACCTTGACCTTAACCCAATAGCAAATCAAAGCTTACCCCTAATATTTTTGACAAAAACAAAGCCTGGAGCTAATATCAAATCACCTTTGATCTGATATGTATGCAGCATCTAATATTTCTTCTACTTGTGACCTGTACCATCATTACTCCTACCTTTGTATCCACCTTCTCTCTGTGTGCAGGATAGTTCAGTACTATGCCTGATAAGATACAGAGCCCAAGCCATCCATCCAACCAAAGAGAACTGGATCCCAAACCTTCAGAAGCTCCTAGATCGCTACTTCCGATCTGAGAGTCGTACCGTCATCAGGGAGGCTGCCCTCAATGTCTTATCCTCGACACTTCACTCAAGTGGGAGTCTCTATGAGGTGACCTATCGTTGTTGTTTTTCTGTGTTTTTTTCGCGTGAGATAGTATATTTACACCTGTCCAAAAAAAAGCTTTTTAAGGCTAACCTATTGCAGTTCCGACTCCCTTCTTTCAAATTGGGAATTGTAAATCTTTTTTTCCCCTTCATTTTAGCTGCTGTCTTTAATATTGGAATATACCTTAACTGAAAAAATGTGAATAGAACTTGTAAAAAAAAATAACAGCTGTAATTTCATGAGAAAATTTGTAATATGCTCCCAATTCAAAGATTTCAGTGCTTTATATTTTTTATCTCCTATATCAGACAACATTTTGGCTCATAAATTAATACATACAAGAAGTTAGATTTGTATTCTTCTACTTAAAGAATCCCATATTTTATGGACTGTAACATTAGAGGCAAGACAAGATCATTCAAAAAATGATGACATAACTCATTAGAGCTTGTATGGGATTATGTCATCTATTTCAAACTCTGCCTGATTATCTTGTAATATTCTTCCTGTTCCTCTGTTTTTCCTCTACTTCTCCAGGATGACCTGATAAAAATGGTAGCTCTACCCCAGCTGAAGTCCATCTGTGATGACCGAGACCCAGTGGTCAGAAAATGTGCGGTCAAGCTGCTGATGGACTCAGCCAAGGTCTGTCAAAGTCCTTTCTGTCTGGACATACTGGACATTATAGAAAAGGTCAGTTCATATCAGTTTATGCTGCATGTTAGCAGGGCGCGACAAACCCGCTTGCCCGACGTCCCGGGGCAACCAAATTGAGCCGTCGGGCAAGTAAATCAAATTATCACTTGCCCGATTCGGGCAAGTGATACTTTTACAGTAATTTCCTAGTGTCCAAGAACTCTACCATTCACCCGTCAACTTCTTACCCGTCGTCAAAATCCAGAAGCAAAAAAGCGATCGTTCCGATTTCGAAAAAACTTCACAGACAGCTAGCCAGCTCAGCTAGCTCAGCGCGCATGCAACAGTGACACTTCAAGCCATGAATGCCGCTCCGCCTCCACGCACGGCCGGCCGTGAGCTAGCTAGAGACAGCTAGCGCGATCGTACCAGCTGCGAGCTTATTCGCGCTCTCTCTCTCTAGCTCTGCAGGCCGCACCGACAGGCCTTTGCTATTCTCTGATTGCCGATTGGTTGAATCACGCCAAATATGACGTCATTATTCTAGGGAAATGAACACGTGCGAATCGGAATGGAATAAACAACAGGGATTTTCTAGTAAGTACAAAAAGTCAAATGTTTGATATTTATTCATAATGACTGTTAATGATTGTGAACATATTATTTAAAACTCGCTGCTCATATAAATCAGATGAATGTTTTTGTCTCGTTTTCAATTTATTACTGCGGTCTCAAGATCCGACCGAGCGAGTCATTTTGATAATAGTATCGAGACCCCCAGAATATAAGCCGTTGTTGTTTTGTTTTCATGGTTTTAGCGACGTTGTTTAGTCTAGTTTTCGCATACTTATCCGAGATTTATCATAAAATATCTTCAATATTATTATTTAGTAAGAATTTACAAATTTTGGCATGATATTTATAGATATTTATTACGAGATAATAAATGCTTTAACCTCGAGTCCTTTTTCGCTTTAAAGTTTTGGGCAAGTGGAAATATTGTTTGGGCAAGTAAATTGAAAACCCACTTGCCCGACAGGGCAAGTGGTGAAAAAAATTCTTGTAGCACCCTGATGTTAGTTTATAAATGGTTCTTATAAATTAACCGTCCCAGGATGAAATTTTCTTGTAATTCTGTAATTAGTTAATTTAAAATGAACTAATTTCACGGTGCATGGGTATGTTTCAATATATCTCTTCAAATTATTTATGTTTGATGTGATTTACAGCTCACTCTGTGGAAAGGATTGAAGTCAATGAAATAAAAATTCTTTACACTTCCTCTAGTAAATGTTAATATGAAGAAAAAAAGTGTTATGGATCTTCAAAGATCCCAATTAACCATGTTTTATCAAATTGTGTAATTGACTTTAATATCCGAGACAGCTTTTGCTTACTTGTACATGTACATTGCAACTCTATTTTGATATTTGTTCAGCTGACACTTTGATCACTTCGAAGTTGAGGGAAAGAAACAGAAGTAGAACACAAACAACAGATTTTTTCAAATTTATGTTCAAATAAAGTATTCCATTACCATGCTTTGATTATTATTTTTGTTCAATCAAAGATGTGATATATGATGACATCTCATGAAGGATTTTCTTCCTTGTTTTCTGCGTCCAGGTTGTGATGAAGACCATGCATGTGAGATCACATGTAGGAGGAGGAGGAGGAGTAGAGTCGCATCATACTCCTCCTCATTCAGAAGAAGAAAGAGACTTGGTTGATGTGATGACAGCTGTCACAGGTCTGCTGGAGCTCTTCAAGGTATGATAGCAGATGGTCTGTTAAGCCCCACTGTACTACTTGAAGCTTCGTGCTCCCTCTTTATAGAAAACAATGCCTAAGCAGTGCCCGTTGGTCCCCCCAGATCCTCTTTTTCTTATGTCAATTGAGAGCTGAATTGATCAGATAGCCACCTGTCAGTGACCACGCTTGGTGGTCTAATCCCTTCTGGCCTAACTAGTACAGACGGCCTTTAAAGGAGATTAAAGTGCTAGTGATCAAGAGGAGGAGGAGAGGGAGTGGGATGGTGCTGGTAGTGGAGATAAATATAATGAAGATACTTATAGTGGTGATATTTGTGATGCTAATTGGAATGATTATGATTATCATCATTCTTTTCATCATCATTATCATCATCATCACCACAAGTATGCTAGTAATTTTGGTGAAAATGATCCGATGATGATAGCATTAAAGGGGAAGAGGCTCATGGATGACAATAATATTGATTTCAACAATGATTACTTTCTTGATGTTTTTTTTTTTGGGGGGGAAGGGTATTAGAATAAAAGTTATGATGAAGGCAACAATGATATCTTCTTTTAACTTCAGCATATGTAAAAATAGTAAAGGTAATATATATTTTAAGCACTTGCATATCATCAACTTTTTTGAAAATGTTTCTTATAGTACTAAATTCCATGCTTTATTCTACATACTCTCTCATTTAATCTCCATCTCTTTTGTCCGCCACCTCCTCCTTCAGGTCAAGATGTACCGTGTGCCCTCCTCCCATGCCGTATTTGCATTTGAGTTGCTTGGCACCCACATGAAGCAGCAGTATGAGCACAAATACAATTCAGACATGGCTAGCAACATCAGAGCCAAGGTAAGGATTGAAAGTTATTTTTTCATTCATTCATTCACTTTTGGTAAAATCAGTATCTACATTTAGACATAGTTTTTACAGTTCCAGGTTTGGTGTATCTTGATTACTTTGTCTCAATTAGAGATGTATTTCTTGCAAGTATTGTTGTGTAATTACAGTCAAATCTACCTTAAAATAGCGATCACCTGTAAAGAAAGACCTTTGTTAATAAATACCACATTCTCTGTTTCCCTTAATTGTACGATGCATTTCGGTGAAACCAGGGACCCGTTTCATAAAGCCTTTTTTCAATGACAAATGAAAAAAATCTGTGACAAATCTGCTGATAACCAATCAGAAGCAAGGATTTCAGTAGCTTATAACAAAAGCTATCATTTGTCACTGATGACAAGTTTTGTGAAATGGGGCCCTGTACCGTTATTACATGCTCGTAGTGACCATGTTTCTTATCTCCCTCAATTAATTGGTCCTTGTATTATTATTTCTTTATTGCAACCAAAACTTGAGGTTGGATTTTAAATACAAATTAAAAACACAGACAGATAGATAACAACGGTAGAAATAATTTACTCAAATTCAAAGAAACCGTAGAGTCTGATACATAAATATATGAATAACAATGTGCTACAATCAAATTATTACACATTATCAAATAAATTAATGTAAGCTCAGGAGTATAATATTTCATAATAATTGTAATTAGTATGAGAAGTAATTATGGTAGGTGTGTCTATTGATGATAATAATGTTTCACTGTATCATTGCTCATGAGTATAATATTTCATATTGATTGTAATTAATATCAGACGTAATTAGGATAGGTATGTCTATAAATTGATTAGTTTATAATGAAATTGATAATGATAATATTGTTTCACTGTATTATTACTTGTTGTTATTTGCAGGTGTTTGAGTTCCTGCTGCAGTTGAGAGCAGACTCCATGTGTAGACTAGGCTTCCCGGGAGAGAGGGGTATCTACAAGTATAGCCCCTATATACTATGTGATTCAAGGTGAGCTGGATCATAAGTTCTTTCTCTTTTCTTCCCTTTGCTCTAACATGCCTATTATTTTTTCCTCTTTTCAGAGTTTCATTGTTGACATACTATGGTGATCACAGTAATCTTCTAAATTCCCTCGCTGTCAAAACTTTTATCAATAGACGTGGAATCTTTGTTATCCTTTAGAAATACATGTTATGTATATCTCCTTGATATTTTTTCTGAGGCTTAGTCTACTGATCACCAATGATACTAAATTGGATTAGATTTGATTTGATTTGATGATAGTAATTCTATATTATCTCTACATTTACCATAATACTGTATAGTTGTGCTTTAAATTAAAGTACATGACATTGGAGATGGTATGCAGAAAAATGAGAGCTGAAGTTACATAAAATGCATTTTTTTTTAATTTATCTAGTTAGATAGTACTTTTTTTTTTAAAGTAAAGCACATTTAAATGTTTACTCAGGCCTTGATGAAGTTGCATGATGAGTTGAAATTCCTATGAATAAAAGCTATAACTTTAATTTTCATACCTAGAGATAAACAATTCTATCCATCCATCTGTGTGTCTCTTAGATTAGAGATGGAGCTAGCAGGGAAGACATCCCCACCAGTATGCAGCTCACCGCCTCCGGGTGAGAGACATCTTAAACCTACCATCATCCCGTTCATCCAGGCCTTCAAGATGATCACAACCTGCTTGAGAGAGGTAAGATAGCAACAGCCTAGGTAGCATTAAAGGGATTGGGCAACTTTGTCTAAGATTCTGAAACCCATGCTGCAATCATAATTATACACCTTTAGGTCAGTCAGGAATCCCATCACATTTACAAGCCGATCGCCTTTCTTACAATTATGTATTACAATTTGTCAGGAATACCCCTGATTGCATGTCTTAAAAAGTCAGTAATCTCAACATTTTCTTTGGTTTAGTGAAAATGAAAGATGAAATTACTATTTACTATTTTTTAATATTTTATAACTTTTATCACAGTACGAGGCTACCTAATCTGTATAACTACCATGTTGATTTTGAAAAGCTATTTTTAATGATTTGTATCTTGTTATGTTACCTGCCCTGCTTGAATCACAAAACAGATCAAGTCCTGGGCTTTTCTTGATGTGTTCTCCTTTTCTTTGAATGTCTTTGTCATAATGTCTCTGTTCCTTTATAACTAAAGTTAGAATAAAATGATTAACCCACAATTTTTCTTTATTCTAATCAGGAAACTCATTGGAAGGTTCTATCCATGGTTCTGCCTTGTCTTACCAAAGCTCTTCAGAACAAGAACCTGGTCCTAGCAGCTAATGCTAACATGGAGAACCTGTGTGTGGTTCTCTGCTCCATGGTAAGACCTTAAAGCCCCACTGCACTACGTATAGCTACTTGCGCCCTCTATATAGCAAACAAGGCCTAATCGGTGACCATTGGTCCCCCATGGTCCACTTTTTCTAATGTTAATTGAGAGCTGATTTGATGAGATAACCACCTATCAGTGACCATGCAGGGAGGTCTAATTCCTCCTGGCCAAACTAGTGCAGAGGGGCTTTAAATAAAGTCAAAGTTATCAAGATTAAATTTCATCTTGTGCTTTACTATGCAGGCTATTCTTTTGCCTATTCATAGAAATTGCATGTAGTTCTATGACGCATCTGAAAGGTATTACCTGTGGAAGTTTTAATGTCTGTGGTCCACACACCTCCTTGAGAAGTGGAGGGCAATCTGATTTGTATATTATTCAAACCACTGTGAGGAACTCGCCCCACAATTTCTATTTGTACATAGTATTTCACTGTCATATATGATATTATTTCTGTTTTATTTGAGAGGAATCCTCAGCTAATGTACTTTGTTAATTAAACCACAAATATCAATCCACAAAAATGCATGAGGTTACCTATGACAAAACTGAATTTGACAAAATGAAAAAAATATAAGCATTTAAATCCTTCTTTTTTTCTTCTTCTCATTTGTGGTAACAGGTTGAGGACCGAAGTCACATGAGTCGTTTACAACGCTCTGAAGGATTCAACAGAATTGATTTCTATACTGGTATCTACAGTGCCCTGACTGCCTTGGTGCCATACCATACGCTGCTTGACCAACAGAAGAAGGTATTACATATTATATTACAGTGACTTTCTAACCTGGATCCTTCTCAGTCATGAAGAGATGCCAGGTCATTTATGTATTCTCTTTGATATTTTGAAGAGGTTGTTATATGATACATTTCACAGTGAGCTGTAAAACACTTCTGCTTTCAAGCAAATTGAATAATCAAAATTTACTGGGGCTTCCGGTAAATTTCAAATTTAAATAGCGCCTAAAGCCATTTCATAGTAGCTGCGACCATGAAAATCTCAGAATATGCAGTTCTGATATACATGTATACTTTCCAAACGGGAATAGCAAATCGGTCGATTGTAATCAAGAAACATTGTTTTAAAGATAAAGTAATATCAGTCTTGAGAGGGAGCTATACAACATAAAGAGTTTATTATTTACAGTATCATCACTTTAGACTCAATTTCAACCGCGACAACGATCATTGAATATTGTAAAATCTTATATGCTTCCAATATGTTCATTTGAACCAAATTCATGACCCCATACCAAAACTTTGTATTACCTTTAAGTATGCAATGAAAAACATCATAGAAAATAGTAAATGAAAAGTGCTTTACATTGATCTCAGTTAGGCTTAAGTTGCATTCAAAACAAATGTATCTTTTTTCTTACTTTTAACAGAATATTATTATACCTTAATATTTGCCCTTCATAATAAAGATCAATTCCTTTGTGACATTTTGGTTATTGTCAGTTAGTACTCAATGCATTCAGTGTAAGTACATGATCGGTGTCCTGTTCTATCTCCAGGTGTACCTGATCAAGTGCTTTGAGGCGGGCCTGAAGTTGAAGTGTGCCCAGCAGTGTGTGGATGGTTTGACCTTGTGTGTCATTGAGATGCAGGAGACCATGTTGAAGGTGTTGCCTTCGATCATCCTGGTCATGTCTCAGATGTCAGCTACTGCAACCATGGCCATCCCTGTCCTTGAGTTCCTCTCAAGTAAGTAAAGCGATAGTGGTGGTAGTAGTGGTGGTTATTTTACCTGACTGCTAAGAAAGCATAAATGCTTGTTAGTAAGCAACCAGAGGACTGACGGCTTTAGGTCCTCTCCGAGGGACCTGGTAATGAGGATTAATGCCTTACCAAAGGGCACTAGCGCATCGACTTGGTTTCTAACCCGGGTCACCGGATTACGAGACCACTGCTCTACCAACTGAGCTATCGTGCCTCCTCCCTAGATAGAGGGCCACACTATTTATTCCATGTTGAGTTTTTACTGGTATTCATCCACTGATTGTACCTCTGATAGATGGGTTCAAGTCTTGGGTTTGAGCCACATATTGTCCAATGATCTTTGAAAGTAATATGCATGGTGGTGTTTATAAATGCATAGGTTTATGGTTTCACCATGTGGGTAGTCCTGAAAGGACCTTTGGTTTGGAAGTGGATAGAAGGAAAGAGAGAGAGAGAAAGGTTCTGTGTTCTTTGGGTTTCGTCCATTGGAGGTCTACTTAATAGTATTATATGGTTAGAGGTAAAGAAATTTAAGAGAGATATTCATTCATGAGAAGAGTCCTGAAAAGGGACTGTTGTACCAGCTTATGAATGTGAAGAGATTCATAACTTTCAGATTCATAACCTTGTTCGCCAGTCTCTCACTTAATATCTCTCACATATTGTTTGTTTAAGACACCAGTGTTTGATGTAATATGTTACCACTTCTTTCTTCTTGAAACTATTCTCTTGGAATAAGGTGATGATGAATGGGCATTTCATAAATGATATGGATTTATGGAATTATAACTTACACATACAGGTGTACATTCACAATATATATGTGCATATTTCAATGAAGGCCTATTTCAGTAATGCATTGGTAATGAGAGATTTACAGGTATTCAATAATGCTGTATAATTCAATATGATATTGTTCTTTTTTGTTTTCAAGATTTACTTTGTCAGGCAGAAGAAATACTTAACCCCTTTATACTTTTTATCATCAGGCTTAATCTGGTTTCCTAAGCTGTACGCTAACTTTGTTGAGAGTGAATACATGAGTATCTTTGCTGTGGCTCTCCATTACACCAACCCTTTCAAGTAAGTGGGAGACATTTCACTGAATAATACTTCTTAGCCATACAAGCAATGTTAGGAAGCCAACACAGTCTACTTAAAGATACGGTGTCATAAGGTAGAGGTGTGTGATCTAGTGGATATGTCACCGGACTGTGGATCACAGGGTATGCGGTTCGAGTCCCGCCGCAGCACTAATGTCCTTTGACAAGACATTGATCAACACTTGCCACTCTCCACCCAGGTGCCAAATGGGTACCCGGTAGGAAGGAATTCCTTGAATGCTGTGAGCACCGAAATCAGTAGCCTAGCTAGAGATGGGGTAATATTGGAGCACCTTGCAGGGTGAATATGTGCGCTATATAAATATCCAATGTTATAATATTATTGTAAGGACAAGCTAAGCTTTATATGCACTTGAATATTTTACTATCACTGTCTTTAACACTTGAATATTTAATCATCACTGTCTTTAATAAAGAAGCTAGCTAGTGTCAAGTTCCATGTACATATTGATCATGTGATTTTCTTTGTTTGGGTTTCTTTCACAGACATTTTTTTAAAAATAATTAATTTGTAATGATTATACCAGAGCATACAATTGTGGCTATTTTCCCCTTTGCAGGTTTTCCCTATATGTAGTATCGCTGGCCCATCATGTAATTGCCATGTGGTTCATCAAATGCCGTCTGCCATTCAGGAGAGAGTTTGTCAATTGCATCACAAGGGTAAGATTAGCCTCCGTCATCATCATTCTTCAGTTCTTTTGGGAATATGTATGCAAAATTCATATATATGTTATTCATAATTCATATCTAATTCTAAATGACCTCATGTATTATTCTAAATTTTAATTGTTATTGAAACAATATGTATTAAAATTTTAGCGATCAAGGATCTTTGTAACTATTAAAACTGATATTTTCATGTTGATATTAACCTTTAAGGGGGTATCTCACTGAGCGGCGAATGCTTGCGAATGTTGCGGAAAAATCAGGGTTCGCCTTTTTGAATGTCCAAAATTTCTTTGTGACAAGAAAAATTGTTTGCGAACTTTCTTGCAACCTTTTACAAACCTTTTACAAACCGTGCCGAAACACCAAATTCGCTACGTTTGCAAGCATACGCCGCTCAGTGAGATAGCCCCTTTAGGAGTTTTATGAATTGTTTTGTTGCTACCAGGGTCTACAAGCCAATGCACTCAGACCTGTACCAGACTTTGATGGTAGCAGCTCTCCACCAATCATGAAGCTTAGGAGAAGCAGCAGTCTCACAGACAGGACTAAAATGTTAGTAATAACACCTGACAATATACATGTACATGTATGTGTTGAAAACGATATGCTTAGAGGCTTGTGTTTAATTTTTAAGGGTTGCATGTATTTCTCACAAGAGAATAGTTACATACTTTACCTGAAATACACATATTTCTATCAGAATGGTTGCTCTTTACATCCTAAAAGGAAAAGGTATTCTATGTGGGAAGTAATCCAGCTAAAGAAGTATGATGGAATAGTAGCATACATCTACTTGACAAAGAAGCAAAAAAAAGTAAAAGTAAAGATAAGCGCCTAAGTGTATGTACTGCAACTATTACACATTCTGTGTGATGAATATGAATATCAGCTTTTCCTATTCTAGTGCATCCTTACCGGCTTTGTAGTGTTTTCTTAAGTATGAGTGTGACCGGTATTGAGTAAGCTTTTACGTGTAAGACATCAGAAAGTTGTGCTTTAGTAGATAACTCATTTCAGAGTCTTGCATTTAATATTGTCTCTTTATCTACCCTGTCAGGAATGAGAAAGGCAAAGGAAAGGGTGAAGATGGAAGCAGTTCAAAGGCACTCACAACAGAAGAGGCTCTAGATATGCTCAACAGACTCCTCACTCAGACCTGTCTAGACATGATGGCTAGGTACACCTACTCAACACTGGCTACCTATCCAAAGAGGTGAGATAGATACTCCAGCATGTGCCATACATATATATGTCACATTATTCTACATGTAGAATCACGATAGTACTGCAGGCCTGTGGTAATAAGCCAATGATTGACTGATGATTACATGTGAAATTATGCAATGCAGCCTTAAAGCTGCCACAATTGTAATATAAATCTAATACAAATAAACCTGGTTTTATTACTTCAGCCCCACTGCACTACTTATAGCTACTTGCGTCCTCTATATAACGAACAATGCCTAATCGGTGACCATTGATCCCCCATGATCCACTTTTTCTTATGTTTAATGAGAGCTGATTTGATGAGATAACCACCTGTTAGTGACCACCAGGGAGGTCTTATCCCTCCTGGCCAAACTAGTGCACCAAGGCTTTAAACATTAGCTTTACTGTTGATTACAAGTCTCAACATATGATAATACAGTGTATCTCTGCAACCAAAGGTCGTAATGTGATTGTAACACAGAAATGATTTTCAGTAGCTTTCTTCTTTTTAGTTCCACTTTAAGGTTATCCTAATTTTTTTTTTTTTTTTTAAATTTCAGGTCACCGGTTTCAGAGTTCCTTTTGGCTGGAGGTCAAAGTCAAAGCTGGCTTGTTGGAAACAAGGTCGTTACCGTGACGACCAGTGGGGGCAGCACCCGTCTTCAACGGAACGGTGTGTGCGAGAGGTGCAACTCTCTCATCCAGCAGTATGTAGAGACAACCTCCACAGCCTCTCAGGAGAAAGTGGAAGGAGAGACGGAGAGCTGGATGTCAAAGATAAACGAGGAGAAGGCCGACCAAGAGGCTAAGCAACCAAGCTCACCCTCGGGTACAGGGTTTGGAAGGCTGAAGAGACAGAGATCAAAGTCTGGCAACACACAGCGGATAGACAGCAGTGGAAATGCACTGCAGAAAAAGGTTTTGATGAATTCACCTGCTTTCTCTTTGAGACTTGATGAAAAGATTGTTGTCTACATTAAGCTTTATTCATTTTCATTTTTAAATATTGGTGCAAAAAAAGAGAAGCAAAAGATATACATTTCATTGCCAGTAATCATCATAACATCTCATAAAGATATACATGTAGCAAGTCAATTGGTTTACAAGGATCAAGGCATTGAATTCACCTCAAGTCATATATAGCCACTAGGACTTTCCTTTTGTTTAGTTGTAGAGAGAGAGAGAGAGACTGATGCTGAGTGGGATAAACATATTCTTATCCCATTCTGTCACAATATTGGCCTTCTTCACAGAAATTTGGTTTCTTCCTTGTAGGTTACAAGAACAGAAGACCAAGAAGAGGTCAAACACCTGACACTCTTCAGCTCCGTGACCCCAGAGGTCACAAGTAGTGGGTTGGATACATCTCGTGGGTCTTCCGCTGAAAGTCTCAAGGGGAGCGATGGCAGCTCCTCCCACCACTCCAAGAAAGAAGACGGTAGTCACTCTGCAAGGGCTGGCTCAAAGGTCATGTTCGCTGGTGACAAATTCCAAGGTTCGAAGGTGAATCAGTCAGCAGCAGCCGCTGGGACCGGGAGCAATAAGCCAACACCCAAGGTGATGTTTTCAGGTGTCTCTGATGTCAGCCAGGGTTCAAAGGCAGCAAGTAGTGCCTCAGAGACATCTCATGGACCATCCTCAGAAGGCTGGAAAGCAAGCGAAAGTCAATCGGGAATGAGCCATTCCAAGAAGGGAGAGAGCAGCCACTCGTCAAAGGCGGCTTCTAAGGTCATGTTTGCTCTTGATACAGGTCACAGTTCAAAAACAAACCAGAAAGAAGCAAGTACTTTAGCCTCAGGGTCTATCAAACCAACCTCTAAGGTGCAAGGGGGTTCGGATACAAACCAGGGGTCGAAGGTCAACCCGACTGAGACAGGTAACGGGATGGCAGAGAGTGGAGATCAGCTGACCTACAAGCCTCGGTATTCATCCCGTGTCTCCTCGGCCTCCATCTACCAATGCAACTGCTGGTGCCAAGGATGGGCTGAGATTCATGTTAGACGACCCACGGGGAACACCTCCTGGATTATGCGCATCCAGAATGGTGGAGCACTCCTCCCCTCCTCTCATGAGTTCCCTCTAGCTGACATCTCTGCCTTGCTCCTGCGTAACCGAGACCTGGACATCGATGCGGACATGGTGATACCTGATGATAGCGGATCGGAGGATGAGACATGTTCTCTGGAAGAAGAGGAAGAAGAAGAAGAAGAGGAAGAGGATATGCATGATGGGAAGCAGAGTATAAGTCATAGAGGTAAGACTTAGTCTTTTTTGTTCTGCTGCTTTTTAACCTCTTAGGGTAATTAAACAGCAAGAAAAAATAACTGGTTTTGGTAAATAATTATGTCCACCCCACAATATTATATGCTTCTATATGTCTGATGAAACAGCACACAGTTCTAGTTCAGTGTAATGTTCTTTTCATAGGCCCCTTGAAGCCCTTCTTTATGGGCATAAAAACACAAAAATATCTAGAGTGAATGAGGCTACTTGTTTTTATATATGTGTCATAGTTGTATCACTAGAAGAATTTAATTAGTCACACTTCCAATTGCTCAAATCAGCTGTCCCTGTGTGCCTTGCAAAATGGCACAAACAGTTCCTTTCCCAGCAGATGTACAATTATAAAAAAATAAATGCAAAGTATAGACCTTTTTTTACTATATAATGTAGACCCAACCAGTTTCAGTCTGTACATCATTTTGTAATTGTTATAGCGGTGATAGGATATAACTTTCTAATAACGTTTTTCTATCGTTTCCTAACGGTGTACAAAAAAAATACGTCCAAAATTTTGAGTGTATGCCCCATAGCCAGACACAAAATGAATCATGGAAGCTTTATTTTCATGCATTTGTGATGTGCACTTACCGGTACAACAAATTCATCCAAATGATGAAAAACAATCACTTTTGCTCTGAAATAAATATTCCAAGGTGGATATGATTTGTGTTTCAGTAATAAGTGCATGCAAGTATAATGTCTCCTACATCTATCTTCGGCCCTGTGTATATACATGTACATATATATATATATATATGACTAATATTGTAGGAGATTAACACCCTTAATGTTTGCATGATCACTATTTAGATGTTAATTCAATAAATCCCTATATACAAATAACAACGAGTATAGACACACTAAATCTATTCGTCTGGCACTCATCGGAGTAAATCGTAAGAATGAACAGAAAGCTGAAATCAGACAATATACATGTAGACAGATCACTGTTCATTCCTGCGATTTACTTTGATGATTGCAAGAAGAAAAGCTTTAGTAGGTCTGTATTCATTGCTATCGTTTGATTTTGAAGTACATGTACCAATCATCTTTTTATATCCCTATTTCTTCACATTATTACCTGTAAACTTCACATGTAAAAATGTATGTTACAGTTACTTTGTAATATAAAATTATAAATATGTTTTGTTTCTTTGTAAAGGTTTTGATATCTACTCTATTTGAAGAGCATACTAATTACCAATTATTGCCTTCATTTACTATTTTCATAAGTGTAATCATGTACAAAGTTGTTCATGCATGGCATTAATACTGTGCCTCGATTTAGTAAATATTTGCTTGATAATTTTAAATGATATTTGTTGAAATGTGAATAAACCCCTACATTTCCCTACCTGCTAAACTTTGTTACCTCTCTGTCCCCAAATGACCGTTGAAAATTACGAACATTGGGAAAATTCCATTATATGTACTATATGCATGTATATATGAACTTGCCTCTCGGTATGTGCAATTGTCAGCTAGGGTGCTGGGACTGAGATATTAACAGGGTCATCTCCAATATTGTGTGTGGTACATATACAGTCTGATCCATCTGTTGTAAATGGACTTCCAAATAATTGTTAGATGTCTTTGATAGTCACTGTTCTCGCCCTTTAATGATAGTCCACTCCCATGGTATTGTGAATATACATGTACTCTGTATTTATACATTGTTTATTGTATTCTATACCCCTCTATTTATGCCTATTTTTTCATGCAGCGTTATTGGATTTCAGCAGCCCCTCATTTCATGATGATGATGATCTTTTTTCTGATATTCTTTGTGAGTTTTATTAACCCCTCGTTTGGAATTCATTTTTTTCTTCCGACCATTTTAGAGAAGGCATATCAACCAATTATATCCCATGCTACTGAGCTTAAACAGCCATCTGGTGCAGTTGCATGCCTTTTGCTTTATTCTTAAAACATAGGGTTGAAATTTACAAATACAAAAGCTTTGCATGGTATCCTCTTACTGGTCATATATTAGCTTTATAAATCTGTCTCTTTTGTAACCTGTATAGTAAAGCATCATATATCTGAACACAAAATTGTCTTATGCCTTTACTAAAACTACTCTTCAGTAAGTGCAAAATGGAATAGGGAATTAATAAGGGTAGCAGAGCTTTCAAATACAACTTTGTCTGATATTGTAGGAAATGCCATCCTCTCTGTCAGGGCTTTCTACCAATCTTCAATAAATCTTGTCTTGCATAGGTGTGCTTTTCAAAGGTTTTATATTCAAAGGTATATTCACACCATTCTTTGTCCATAACAATTTTATCAAAGTCATACATAAAATCAAATTTTCATTTTGTTATTGTCATTACTTTTCAAGAAGAACTATGATTCATTAATTGGGTTACACATGTAAACAAAAGCACGAAAGTCCATATTTTTACATCATGTTCAAAGCAGTTTTCAGATAATTTGCAAGTAGGCCTGGTAAATACATCTCTTAGTGATTTTTAAATGCAAGAAAATAATATTCAATACAAATAGAACTTGTAAAAGTTCGACTTGCATTGTCACTAACTTTACTATTTGATAAGAAATTCAAAGTGCTAACCTTCAGCACCGTGTGTGTACATCGTATGTGTCTTGGGACTTGCTATGGTTTGGAATTGAAATTTCATGTTTGTGTGTGCACATGTTCATGTAGTCTGCATGATACATGATACATTACATAAGAACTTACATGTAATGATAATCAGAAAATGGTGGGAGACCTTTTGGGGTCATGGTAAATTGTCAATTCTACATGAATATGTCAGTATTTATATTAATTTACTTATATTTATGAAGATTTACATTTACATGTACATACGCACAAAATCAAGTATTAAAATTCTTGTCTCATGCATTATTTCATGTGCATATGTGTTCATTGTCACTTTTTTTATTAGCAAAAAATGTGTACTATACATGTACATACTGTTTGAGTGCCTTTGTTTCAAATATTCATCTACTTATTTAAACTGCTACATATAGTTCTCTCCATTATTGCTTTCGAAAGTGAATTTCAGTTTAAAGGTTTATGTTGTAATCACTGCTAAAAAAAAATCTTTAAATTTCTAAAATGGTAGTTCTTTATATATACCGGTATATACTGGTATTGTTGTGTTTTTTTATATTTGTGAGCAAGCATGTAATTCTCTTTTCACTGTGATCATATCATTTTTTTTATTGAATTAATATTGTGTGTGATGGTTTGAGATTATGATTTATCATTGATTGACATTCATGTACATGTATCATGTATAATGTATATAACATTATGATATACATTTGCACATGATACGGTACATATATTTGACTTAAATTTGAATGTGCATGTAAGAGTGATATTTGTAAGATCATGTGAACCCTCTACCATGTTTGAATGTACATATAACTTCATTTTGGACGTGTTATGTTCCCATTTTTTATTTTTTTATTGTGCCCAGTATTTATTATTGAGTACATGTACATGTACATTGAGGACTACTCTCGAGTTATTTTATTGAATTCAATTTATTTATGGCCCATATCATCGGACATTTGCTTTGTTTACATGTACATGTATATCACATCAATCATTGTGAGCTGCAGTAACATTTCATTTTTATCACTCACATACTCCTCACATTGGGTTTTGATGTGTATGTGAAGTGCCATATTATTTATGTGTTGCTGTTTTTATTTCAATTGTGGGATTTGTAATTTTCTTCATGTATTGACAGTTCATGATCATGCGTGCATTCTTGTACATGTGTATTGAAATTACCTTGAAGATGGATATTATTATAGAGAAGATTACATGAATGACTAGAATAAATCTTGAGAAAAATGATACAGAAACTGACAATTCAGAGATGTATGCACATTAACTTCTACATGTGTATATAAAAGTGCATTTTACATATATACAGAATATGAAACTTTTGAATGTGTTATCATTGTCAGGGGTCGGGGAATTTGATTTTTTTTTTAATATTTAATTTTTTTTTAATTTGATTTGAAATTCCAATAGATTTCAACCCAGTTCTAGCTTAATCTGGTCATCAAAATATTACAAATTAACCTGGAAAGGGACATTCTGGAATTAGGTCTAAATTAATAGGTAATCATTGTACAGCATGCCCAGTGCCAGAGTCAGAAATTATCCCTTAAAAGATGAGATTGTTTGTAATTTCTCCTTTCTTTCTACATTTTTTTAAGGTTTGGAATCTGACATGGATTCTCTGAGCTTTCCAAGAACTGAGATGGGTCTGTCACCCATGGGTCCAAGCTTCCTCCAAGACTATGCTACCATGAGAAAGAGAGAACTAGGAGAGAAAAGGGTGAGTACATCTCTTGTTTCCTTTATTGTGGACCCCTTTGAAAACAAAAATTTGTTAAAAGGTCTCATCCACCCCACTTCTTGTTGGATTGTACAAAGCATTTTGATCAAATGCATAGCTGAGGAAAAAAAAGGAATATTCAATTTGATAGCGAATATATTATGAAAACATCCCCATCCACTTTCAAAGAGCCGTGAAGTACTCTTGCTATAGCTCCACCAAATGTTATTTATCACACAAAGTGCGTTTTCAAGAAGTAATCCTGACATACCTCCTTCATATATCTATGCGTCTGTTTGTGTCAAATTTAGGTTAGTGTCATACCAAGGCACATAACTGAATGATCCCCTCAGCTTTTAATTTAGACCTGTGACTTATCCACTAGACCACAACACCAGTACAAGGGATCTTCGCATAGAGAGAACTTTCATGTTAAAGGCCATCTGTACCAGTGTGGACAGGAGGGATTAGACCACCCAGGGAGGTCACTGACAGGTGGCTTTCTCATCAACTCAGCTCTCAATTAACATAAGAAAAAGGATCATGGGGACCAACAGGCACCGATTAGGCATTGCTTTCTATATAGAGGGAGCAAGTAGCTACAAGTAGTACAGTGGGGCTTAAGCAAATTGAATTCAATCGCAATTCTATTTTGTATTTTCAGGAATCTGCTTACTGTGAAGTAATAAAGGACCTCCATGAGGCAACAGACACACTGGATAAAGTTGGTACATCACCCAAGCCTGGCTTGCTCAGATCCAATTCTTCACCGGCACTCATCAGTATGGGTGAACCTTCCAACCTACCAACCCTCTCCCCTCGCTCAGTGGCCCGGTCCTTCCTGGAGGATGCAGCTCAAAAACCAGGCTCCTACAAGGACCCTTCGTTTCTCTCAAAGCGCTACGCCCAGGACGTGCCATCAGAGCTGTGGTCATCACCGGGGATTGAGAAGACTGACATAGGCGGGGATCAGGAGGATGGACTACTGCAGACCAGTGGGTCTTCGGAGTTTGTGGACATCAGCTACAAGGACATTGAGAACGAGGAGTCAAAGGCCACAGCAAAACCAGCATCCTCAACTGCTCCTGGAGACTCAACAACCGATGCCGTCGATGTCAGTGCGGCCATCTCGAAGACCACTAAAGACCAAGTCGAAGAACATGAACCTAAGGCAGAGAAGCCAAAGACCTTGCCAGTGGTTCCCCATTTATCCGAAGAAGAGAGCATCCAGCAGTCCAGGAAACTCTTGAACTACAGTTCCTCACGTCCCAGAGGTCACACGGTGTCCATCATGGTCCATCGGGATAGACCCAAAGGACAGCAAGGCGATAGCAGGAGTCGCAGGACATCTGAAGCTAAACACAGGGGTTCCTTCACACAGAAAGACTCTTACCGCTCTGGTATCAATCCAAGGTATGATGTGTGACAAGTTTTATTTCCATTGTTTTAGTTTACTCCAAAAATATCATATCATCATTATCTTGGACAGTTCTTATCGATTGTTTGTATGATAAAGAAAACTGATAATGCTCCACCTACTTTTAACCTGTTTATTAAAGCCCAACTGCACTACTTATAGCTACTTGCACCCTCTATATAGCATATAATGCCTAATCATTTGGTTCCCAATGATCCTCTTTTTCTTATGTAAATTGAGAGCTTATTTGATGAGATAACCACCTGTCATTGACCATGCAGGGAGGTCTAATCATCCCTAGTGCAGACGGGCTTTAAGAGATGATTTTTGTAGTTTAATTTCATACAGTGGAAAAATATGTAGCTTAGTTCCTCATATCTGATTAATCTTTTCTGTTCCTTTGTTTTTTTAGCTTTGTCTTCCTGCAGGTGTATTTCTCTCCTTTGTTTACGGAGGGTGCTGAGAGACCTATCGCTATACCTCTCTCTCAGGTAAGACTCGTCTTAAATCCACTGTTTCAGAGTTTACTCTGTTGGAAATGCATATGTAGAAGAGTAAAACTCATCTCAGAATGATAATACTACCCTGTTTTTATCCTGATATGGTGACAGTCTATTGGTCTTTTGTATGGTTTCTTTCAGTCAAAAGTCACAAGATCAAGATGCTGTACAGTTATCATTACCCCCATTCACCGAACTCAATTAATATCTTAATTAACCCCTCCAAATATATGCACCATCTCGTAATCTTTGCTCAGCGACCGACACATGTTAACTTATCATTCCCAAATCTAGACTCTCAACAGCTGAGAAATTGTAGCTGCATCAAAGACTTGGAACAGCATCCCTCTTTCCATATGGGAAATTACCTGTCTTGCCACCTTCAAAAGATCCCTCAAAACACGTTATTCCACTATTTCCTTCTTTTCAACAAGCTCTCAAACATTTAGAAAATATGGAACGTATAATTGCTTTCAAGAAAAATCGTCTCGATCTTCATAATAAGAAATGGCAGATATTTTGTTAACTTTTTTTTTATTGCTGATGAGTTAACTATTACACTATATTTTTATTATATGACTATACGAACATGTTATTATTACTATCATTATTATTATCATGTACTGTTATTATTATGAATGAGATTTGTTTTCAATAAATATTTTGAAGAAAAAAAAGATCCCTCAAAACTTACTTTTTTCCCCAGTGATCTATTTGATCTACTTCCTTTTTGTTCTCTTTTCATATATTTGTATTTGTAAGCGCTACATTGTATGGTACTTATTGTTTTAGCGCTCCTAAATATTTAATATTATTATTATTATATTCTATTATTGTATTATATTTATTATAATAGTTATGATTTATGATTTATGATTGAAAGAGAAAGGTTGTTGGGTTTGTGGGAGGACTGTGTACTGGTATTGATATAACTGTTTCCCTGCCATTCCTTGGATGGTTTGACTCTGAAATCATTTTCTGTTTTGTTTTTGATATCAGGTTGGTCAGAGAGCAGTCAAGGTCCTCGACAGGATCCCTCCATATGATACTCACAAGATAGGTGTGGTCTATGTAGGAGAATCACAGGTCAGTGGTCATCTTCTTCTACACATTAAAATATGATGTTGAGTAATCGTCATGATGATAATAATAATATTAATAATAGGCATTTATATAGCGCCATCTATCTAGACAATTCTATTCTGAGGCACACAAATTAATTATACCCCGGCTTTAGCCTAGCTGCCATTACAGCACTCTAGCATTTCAAGGTATTAATTCCTGCCAGGTACCTATTTACATCACCTGGGTCGAGGGTGGCAAATGTAGATTAATGCCTTGCCAAAGGACATTAGTGCCACGACCTTCAAAATTTCAAGTCAAGTGCTTAAACCACTCGACTACGACATGCAGTTGCATTGTGAAAGAACTGTCAAGAATTAATTATGAATGATTCATTATGAATGAACTCTCCAGGCATTGTAATTACATTTTGTATGTGAGCTTTCACTTTTCTGGTATCATTACTCAAGTCTTATTTTTTAAACTTTTTCTGTTAGTGTTATTATATATCATACATGTGTCAACTTTGCAATGTCAGATGAATCACGATTTCCTTTGTTTTTTTCATATCCAAAACGATTTTATGAAATACTTGTACTTAAAGTGTTCCTTGGCATTCACTACAGTTTTCAATGATGTTTATGATTATAAGTTGAACTTTCATAGCGTTCAAATTCTCTTTCCTTAGGCCAATGATGAGACAGAAATCTTGTCCAATGTGTATGGATCAGCACGCTATATGAACTTCCTACGAGGGTTAGGTCAGCTGGTGTCGCTCAAGGACATTGACCCTGATGAAGTGTACACTGGGGGACTGGATAGAACCGGTTCTGATGGCAATTTCACCTACTGTTGGCAAGATGACATCATGCAAGGTAATGTACCAAGTTTATGAGTATTTAAGGAGTGTGATCTTGAAAGTAAACAATTCTCAAGAGATACTCTTTTTCACACAATCAGTGAAATGTGCCTAATATGTGGATTGGTGATAGTTCGAAGTTTCTTCAGATTTGTAGTAGAAGTGATATATCTAGCTGTAAGTTACAAAAGATGGTTTGTTATGAAGATAAGGAATAATTTTGTGGGTGAATTTTGGACTGAATAATAATATACCCCTTTTATTGAGGCAAAAGGAATTACTATTGGGACAGCACTTGTTAGACTGATGACATCAAAACTTGAAAATTTGGTTCAAAAGACCAGTTTACTCACATATTCAAATGTTATGCTTATTTGTAAACAAATGTTGTTCTTGACAACCTCAAAGCTTGCCTGACATAGCAACAAGTAATATATACAGACTGGATTACAAGTATTGTAGTTCACTCATTAATAACAGGTTAATGAATAACTTGTCACTAGGTCCCCAATTCAATAAATTTGAATATGTGAGTAAACTGGTCTATTGAGCACCTGCTTAGAAGTCACTTTGATATGGACATGTATACTGATTATTTCCTGACTTGTTCATGTACAAGAATTTCTATTTTCATAGCGTACTAACCAACATAGATATTTACTCTGGAGGCAGCAGTGAATTTCTCATTTGTAGAAGTGAGAGCATGCTATGTTGCAGGTTATTCATGAATACATGTAACATGATATACCAGTCACAGGTTATTAAGGAAAGTGTATCTGCACAGAAATTCATTTGATATCCCTTTCTTTGGTATCCAGTTATATTCCACATAGCTACACTGATGCCAAACAAAGATTCAGATCCCATGTGTAACGGTAAGAAGCTTCACATCGGCAATGACTTTGTATCCATCATCTACAATGAGAGCGGACAGCCTTATAAACTAGGAACCATTAAGGTAAATACTTCAACATGATTCTTACCATGAGCTGTGGAAATATTTTCATTCATTCTCTTACTCGTTTCATTTTTCGTAAAGATGAGAGTGAAAAGAAGTAAACATATAACGTACCAATACAGAAAATTAATAAATCATCCTGGAGTAATTCATATCTATTGTGATGTGTATGGAAGAAAAAACTATGAAAAAGAGCAAAGGGTAGTCAACAAGTATGTACAGCTACTATATAATTTATTTATGTGTGTGCTACATTGGTCGCCCACTAACTGCATGTGTGTTATATCTTATTGATGTAGAAGAACAAAACTACACTTCATCTGCTAGAGTAGAACAAATGAATTTCAAACATTATATGTATTTAAATTGTTGTGTGAGTTGATCCATTATTGACACATGAATAAAGAAAATTGTAGCTATTAATAGATGTTTAGATTACATCTAGGGAAGATCTTTATTGCGCAACCTGCTACTACATATATATGTATGTGCACATCATAATCTATTTCCTCATATTACTTAGGTAATCTTCTATTTCCATGTATCTTTGTTACTTCAAGTGCATTGATATCATATTTGTCCTTCTCTCTTCCACAGGGCCAGTTCAATTTTGCAGAGATCATTGTTGAGCCTTTAGACAATGACAGCAATCTTGTCTCCATACAAGCAAAGCCAGGTGAGATTCTATATGTCAGATAAAGCCCGCTGTACACTATACGCTCCAAATATGATCAGATTGTGGAAGAATTTGCAATATCATTTGATACAAAATTTCAATCGTATAAAATCTTCTTCTTTTTTCTTTAAAAAAAATATGTAATTTATAATTTGTATGATGTAAAACCTGACCAAGGATCTAGTCATATGAATAAGAAAATCTAACCTTCAAGGGATTTCATGCTTCCTTGGAAGAGGAAAAGCTAAATCCGCTCAGAATCGCTGTGACGTCAGACCAGTAGTGTGATTGTCTATGATTTTTGCGTATGTGTTTATCTTTTTAAACAAAGTTTGAAGTAAATTGTTGGGTGCCAGCTTTATTATACGTTTTGTGTATAGATGTCACTGTTTTTTATTTTCTCATTTACACAGAGTTAGAGCAGATGTTAGGTAGACGAGGTCCCTGGATGGTTTCAGACCAACGAGCAGCTCTTCTTATTAGACAGATGGCACTTCATGCTAATGTAAGCTTTCATTCGGTTTTATTTTGATGCAGTATGTATGTAATAGTAATTTGTGGGATTTAGTTTTTAGAATGGCTTTTACATGTAGATACATTTTCTCATGGCCCCTAACCCTACCCATCATATAAATTTGAACATTTTAAATGGTATTTTTTCCATTTTTAAGCAGTCTAGTCCACCATAAAGTGCATTGGCGCAGAGAAATACTGAACACAAGAACAAAACATGAAAACATTGAAATGATATGGTTTATGATACTTGATATGTGGTCTTAGCAAGAATCCAACAAATGAAAATATTTAATTAATCCTCCTTAATTAGCAGTTTTGATTTATTCTTAGTATGAAATGTAATATCTTGATGTAAACAGTAAAATCTAGTATCCTTGTTTCATTTATGTTGAATCCTTAGCTGGCTTCCCAGATCCACCGTAGCCGCCCAGCCGAAGCCTACTGCTCCAACTGGCTCGAGAGACTGAGGCACATCATACGCATCCAGGACAAGGTCAGACACATGGGGGCGCCATCTAACCCCATGATGAACGTCATGTCGTCTCGTTATCTTCAAACACCGGAGAAGAAATCAAGTGGACATACAAAAGCAGCTAAAATCAGTGACTTTACAGATTATGCGTAGTGCAGCAAGAGTGTCTACTTTGCGCTTGTCTTGTTGTGCAGATTCTCCGATTCCAGTTTCCTTCATATATTTCACGAAAGAGATTGAAGTTCCTGGAATCAGGACTTTGAAAAATATTTCAAATGTTTTCATTATGAAAACTGTTACAAGCAGCATCTAACTGTAATCTCATTAAAAATTCATCTTTTCATCATCAGCACTATTCATCTTACACATTATACCAATCCATAACTTGTACTTCTGTGCATACCAAGGACATGTAGCTAACAAGTTCAAAGAGATTACAAATATTATATATATTATATTAATATACATGATATAATTATGGTAATGAGTAGCTATTGGTTTTATCAGTTTACATTATTTGAGACCAATTGAACGGTTTGAATTCTCATTGTTACTGGATACATGACATGTATTGCAGATTTCACTTTTCTGCCATTGTAGAGTGCATGGTATGGGTAGTATGAATTAAAGTACTAAGGCATTTGTTGTTTTTGTGATAAATTAATTTCTTTTCTTGTTACAGTGTCAATTTGAATCCAAGCATTAATTTAATGACAATATAAACATGTAGGCTAAGACTTTTGAAACGATTAGTATTTGCCAAATCTTTCATCTCCTGGTCGTCTGAATATCTTTACATGTTTATATTGTCCTTATATTCTCTCAACAACAAAAAAGGAAAAAAAAGAATTGCAAAAAAGAAAGACCAAATGCTGGAAGCTTCTTGATTGGTGTCTCTCCTTTGTTTTATATATTGTTGTATTATATGCAGAAATTAATTTTGATACAGAACTGTGAAGAGGAGGAAAATTGTGATGTTATGATTGATCGTAATTGAAATACAATCAAAAGTATCAAGGAAATTGCTAAAGAAAAAACAATGAAAATAATTTCCTTTAGCAAGTGAAAGTTATTTTGCAATTTAAACATTTTTGCAAATTTTGTATTTCTTGCATTTTCTTTTCCTTACCCATTAGAGCAAGGTTAATTTGACCATGGAGATACAAATCAAATGATCTAAATTATTGTAGTAATGATTTATTCTCAATTTGTGTAGAAATTATATTTTCACTGGGTGCTGAAGGTAACTACATATTGATTATTATTACTTTCACTAACCCTTGTTATTGTGCAATATTATTATTTTTGTATTACTTAAGTTTTTTTTGTGAATTTGCATTTCCTAGAGGACTACATTTTTGCAAGGGCTTGATGAATGATTAAACATGAACAAAAGTACCTTTTGATGTGTGACTTTTTCTGATATATTCTAAAAGGGATAGCTGAGTTCTGTTGCATAGGGCGCTACACAAAATAATTTTTTGTGAGATAATGAAAAACTGAGTGTCAAATTTGAAAGAACATACAATTAAGATTACAAAATCATCTTTGTTTGATCAAAATCGGTTCAGAGGCGGCTGAAATATCGATAAATATAACAACTTCTAATACTTGTGTACCACCACAAATATTAGATAATTTGAAAAAGCCTTTGAAAAAACGAAAAAGCGCCTTTTACGTCGTATTTCAGCCGATGCCGATATTGGCTTTTTTGTTGGCATTTTCGTGTTGGTTATATTACGCACAACCAGCCGGCCCATGTAAAAGTCTTCTTCTTCCTAAAAAGTGCAGGCTTCATGAAATGAAGATTAACGCACTGTGGGTTGATGCGCACAGTCAATAGTACGCAAATATACACATTGTTTAGTGATGTGCAGTTAAAATAATAATAAAAATATTAAAAAATAAAAAGTATTGTTATAAAACATTGTTATTTTTTAATTAAATAATTAATTAACGGTCACTGTGTTTTTTTTTTAAAGTGGAGCTTGGTATGATCGTATTGGCTAAATTTCACACATTTTGGGGTCTAAAATTACCTTCATAGCAATTTTAGGTTCTAAAAGGGCACTCGTAATGTCATAAATAAGAATAAAAGCAATTAACCATGCACTTTGAAGGCATTTGCGGTCTGAAAACAGAACTCAACTATCCCTTTTGATTCCTTGAATTACATTTACCCGGTATGTGCCATTACAACAAAGTCCACTGGAGCAATAGGACTAATTCTCCTGTGTCTTCATACTGAATGACAAGTCTGTAACACATTTCAGCTTAGCTGCCTATTAGTTCTAATAATAATGATATCAATAATAATAATATTATTAATGATAGTAAAACACAAAATGACAAAAGTGATAATGGTTACAACTGAAATAATGATGATGATAATAGAAATAAAAGTAATGAAGATAATAAAGTATAGGAGAGAAAGAGAGAGAAAGAGATAGGGAACAGACTAGACGCTGATAATAATCATGAGAGATTAAGGAGAGAGATGTATAGAGGGAGACAAGAGAACAAAAAGATACAGGTATACTGGGGGAGAGAGAGAATGAAGGGGGAGACAGCTAGCCAAGCTGTGGCGCCACCCAAGCTAACGGCTAGTCGCCATAGCAGTAGTGCAGATACATGCGGTACTAAGCGGTAGCAAGCGGCTAGCATGCAGCACGTCGTGACGTAGGCCCTACACAGCGAAGCCATGCTTATGCATGCCCGCGAAATCCTCAAAATGCACGTAGCCTACTAGTGCTTTGAGCTAGCTAAGCCTAGTAGCTTGCGCTTGCGTAACGTAAGACGTCGTGTAGATCTCTACGCATCATTTCCGGCCAGCGGCACGATTCGATTGCACGTGTTTCGGGAAAGAGATGGTAAAGGAATGGTCGAGAACTCAAACGTATTTATGATTAATAAGCTAAGTTTGAGCCATTTGAGCTAGTTCTCATTGCTGAAGTGAACTCATCATTATCATATCACAGCTCATTCTATCTGAGGTAAGTCACGATCACGATTCCCTCATTATTTTCTTTTTCTATTGACCATGATGAAGACCCAATTTCTAAATTCTATTTCTAGATCTAGACTAGACCGAATTTTCCGTCTCTTTCGTTCGTTAGCCTCTTATTGGGGTAGGGTCGGCTCTCTCTTTAGAGACGGAAGCCGTTTATACACATGTCCTTGCTAACGCCACGGCCAGTTCTGGTCGTAGCGTTTTGCCCCCAAAATCCCCCAAAATGTCATTTTACCTCGAGCATGTTATATTGTAAATTAGGCCTAGGCTATAATAAATCAGTTCCACCTACCAACTTGACTTAAATAATCAGTTTAATAGTCCCTTTTTAGGAAATTATGGGTCAAAATCGAAATCCATTTTGAAAATCTTTTTCAACATGGATTCCGATTTTGACCCATAATTTCCTAAAAAGGGACTATTAAACTGATTATTTAAGTCAAGTTGGTAGGTGGAACTGATTTATTATAGCCTAGGCCTAATTTACAATATAACATGCTCGAGGTAAAATGACATTTTGGGGGATTTTGGGGGCAAAACGCTACGACCAGAACTGGCCGTGGCGTTAGCAAGGACATGTGTATAAACGGCTTCCGTCTCTAAAGAGAGAGCCGACCCTACCCCAATAAGAGGCTAACGAACGAAAGAGACGGAAAATTCGGTCTAGATCTAGATCTAGACTAACAGTAACAAGCTGTGCTTTTTACAACTTCAGACCACCTTATTTCCACACTTCCCAATGTCATTATAACTTTCTTATTGTTCATGAATTTATCACTTATAAGTATCAGTTTATTCTTATTGACGTTGAACTTGTTGTTAATGTTATTGTTCACTCATGAATGTATTGTTTTCATTTCACTTGTCAGTGAAAAGAAATAAATTTCTAGGCCCAGAATCTAAACAATTCTTGAATTTGATATATGATGATGTGACCAAAGTTCGCTATCTCAAAAATCAGTAAGATTTCGAAAATTTGAAATCACCAATGAAAAGAGGAACATAAAATTACCGTGCCAAATTACCCAGACTCCAGAGATGAAATTTTCTTTGGAATTGGGTGGGTGATTGGGAAGATATTGACAATCAGCAAATTTTGCAATCATTTGCGTCCGTTCCGAAAAATTCTCAACTTATTGAACCGATAAGGGTCTGGAAACCTTCGATTTGAGAGCAGATTTCCTCATAATTACATGTAGAATGTGGTACCAACCGATTGTATGATATTGATATCTTATTCTTGCCTTGCACCTTATTTTTTATGGATCAAATTTTTAGATCGCGATATCTCCAGAATCCTTTGACGATCAATTTTCTAGTTGAACCAATTTGTAGTAAAAAACTTTGCCGTCCATTTGGTAATGATTAAAATAAACAAATTTGTGTAGAATATGAGAAATCATAGATCGAATATCACATCTTATCAAAATCTCTGCGAGCTTGGGTCACCCCTTAAAGGGGGTGACCAAAGTTCGCTGAGATTTTAACAATATTAGAGAATGTGATAATCGTTTCATGATTTTGCATACCGTATTCTAAACAAATTTAATTAATTCAATTGGATCTATTACCAAATGGACGGCAAAGTTTTTTTATTACAAATTCATAGAAAATTTATCGTTGAAGGATTCCGGAGAAAACTTGATCAAAAATTTCGATTTTGGATTTTCATAATTTCACACCCAAAAGACTGACCGGTAACTCCATTTCGTTGACAATCAGCCATGCATCAGTCTTTCGTTTTCTTTCTTTTGTCAACTCTGTTTGTTGCTAGGGCAGGCAGCCAGTGAAAATGAATATGTTTAATCAAAATATCAAATTATGGAAATGCAAGCATGATGAAGCATCACTTTCCTGGCTCATTTTTCCTGATTGAGGTGTCATATGAAAGGGCAGGAAATGAACTTTCTAGAAATGTAATTTTCCCTTTGAAATTCAGATACCGCCCGCCAAATGAGTTTTTGGTACCCTCTCTTCAAATTGTTTTTAATCAGTCATACGTGAAATATGCATTGAGTTGCATCAAATGAAAGAGGAGGATCTAAGCTTTACAAATATGTTTCATTTATTTATTATAATTGTGATTAAGTTATGATAAAACTTCCATGATTCTCCCTTTTCATTTTTTTTCTGGGATGCACAGTATCGGAATAAGAGAAGAGGAAATCCTTTTGTGATCCAGTGGTCCACCTGCACACCCCAATCAGTTATATTGGGTGGACAGACCTGAGAGTTAATTTTTGTTTAATATGTAATTGTGTGTCATTGTACCAGTATTTTGTTTGTTATAGCGCTTAGAGATTTTGGCGGTAAGCGCTTTATAAGCACCATTTTTATTATTATTATTACTGTGGTTTATTTTGCTTTTCTCCTCCCCGGCACATTTGACACCACATCCTGAATGAGGATGATGATGTTAATAGTAGTAGTAATAATTAGTACAGGTACAGTAGGTGCAATAGAGGTGTGAAAATTCTCACTTGACAGAGACCTCTCTTCAGCTGAATTTGTAGACATCCTTATTCAATTTGGAGGAGAGGAAAATTTGCACAGAATGTTATCAATTGTTATTTAGGGAAGTTTCCACCAATTTTCCTCGAGATGTTCAAATCACAGCAAGTCAGCAATGTGTGTCAAAACCTTTCCTACTCTCACTATTGATTTTCTTTGGTTAATTTATCAAAACGGAACAGGGGCCTTGATAGAGTTGTTACAAATTGAATTTTCACACCAGAAGTCTGCCTGTTCATATTTCAAATTTTAAAATCAATAATATGCTTAAGTTTGGCATGAATTTATCTTTTTCTGCAAAGGCCTTGTTTATTCCCCATAATTTTGGCTGAAAATTAGAATTAAATCTAGCAAAGTATGTAAGTGTTTTGACTTTGATAGTGGGAGCGGGGAGGGGGGGGTGAAAATACATCTTTATTAAGAACTGTATTTGTCATTTGTAAGGCTACAATACCATGTATTACTTGAATATGGTGTGACAGACTTCCATCAAATGTAGCCAGAAATAATCTAGGGAACCAACGTGAATGATATGATTTCAGAATAGACCTCATTCCTTATGCCAAATAAGATTTTATTTACTGAATGTATTCATAAGCGAAAAAATTACACTGTACTGTATGTATTCAAAATGCAAGCAATACATGTAGATCAAAATTATACAGATACTGACTTACTGAGGCGTTTCATATACATGTACCTGTAGGCCTACATGTACTTGATAGTGGCACAGAATTTCAATAGTGATCAGAATTTCTGAAGGGGAACTGCTGATTCATCTTTCCATAGCGTACATAGGCCTAAAGCAGTGTACAAAATGAAAATCTCACTTCCTTTATTTACCAGTACTAACAATTGAGGATGTAAATCAGGACACGCCCCGATCAATCTGAAATGTAAACAGGTGCAGCGGGGGTGTGGAAAATATCACGCAAATGATGCAATGCAGCCTGTATTCTGTCTATTAGTTCTATTTTCATTTAGTATTCATTGTCTTTGTAATTTGTTCACTGGTGTAGACAAAACTTTAGACATGTGGCACCTACAATGGACATACCGTTCTTTTGTTTCAAAAGAGCAGATCTACTCTAATCAATGCAGGAAATCCTGAATACAAATATAATGAAAATTGATGGATAATGGGGTTTTTCATTCTTTTTTTTAAATTGTTGAAACTCAACCAAGGGCTAAATCAACAGCCCCAACAGAACGGAAACAGGAAATATACAAGTGGCCTCTCCCTTCAACCCCCCCCCCCTTTTCCGATCTATCTCGATCTCTCTCTATCTCTCTTTCTCTCTCTCTCTATCTAAGTGTATTACTCACATTCTCCTACTATCGTATGTTTCCTTTATGTTTTTCGTTGTAATCCAAAGATAGTAAGGTACTTGTATTGTTGTTTCATAGACTGAATTGGACACCGGGGTTGAGTTGTTTCACTCTTCAAAGTCTCAAAATTATGAATATTATGACAAATTATATTGAATGCAAGCTACGAACAATTTGGACATGCATACAGTACAATACATCAATTATATAGAGCTTCATCCAGGTCTGGTTAGTAGAATCGACCACAATGTGCAGGCCGAGATAAATAATAAATATAAAGTGTAGTTCATAATCATGCAACCCTGTCTGGCCTTCAAGGTATATTAAATTAATAATTGGAGATGGGTAAAACGTGCATAATCCTGGTAGGCCTTTGGAGTTCATACATGTACAGAGTACATGGTTTACATCACAGCAAGGGGGCGAGGAAGGGGTTTTGATTTGGTGTGTAATCGAATGCTAGCAGCATGTCCATGTAAAGGGCATTGTGTGACCCTTGATGAGTGAAGGCATGTTTGCTCTTTTCTAGCCTGGTTTCCAGAACAACATAGTTACTTTTTATGCCATACATGTACTTGTTACTGCATTTTGTGCCTTCAAAATTCAAACTACATGTGAACATTTTATGAATAAAACTTTTATCTCTTATCAGATCAATAGTGATGTAAAGTTGTAAACTCAGCCTAAGTCCTGGTCATGAAAAACAAAGTTATAGTGTGACGACTTTGAAATATCTTGCTTTCCCTGAAAGCTATAATACCAAATTACACGTACAGTGTACTTCAAGTATGCCTACGTGCCTACATGGGGAGTGGGGTTGATCTAATTATTACACAGCGAAAGTCTTGAAAGACCATTTGTCTTGAATTAGTTTACATGTAATTGGAACCAATGTGAAACATGCAATGGTTAAAAATAGCTTTGTTGAGAGTAGGGAAGTGAGACTGAGAGAGTGAGGAGAGATCCAAATTATTTTTACCAGTGATTTTGTAAAAGTATGTTAAACAGATCTGTTGGGGTGTAGAATGAATTGTAAACATTTACAGTAGATTTATTATTTTTCAATTCAAAAAAAAAAAAAATTATGAGAGAATACCAATTTCTTGGCAAAGCCTGATACAGATAGAGTTATTGAAGTTATTG